GAAAGAGAGAAAGACAAAAGAGACTTGACAAGAAATATACAATTGAATCGAATTGTATAAAACGAGAAAGAGAGAAAGGCAAAAGAAACTGGGCAGGAGAGTATTTTTATTGTATAATTATAAGTGTATAGGACGAAAATATATGTACTTGCATGTGTATGTACAATTTTCTCACGCTTTATACAAATAGAAACACAATTTTTAGATTTCGCTTCTGTTTGTATAAGTTAGAAAGACGAAGGTGGTGAGCGAGATCTGGAAGAGGGGAGAGGGGAACAAAAATATATGTGTTTATACAATTTTCTCTGCTTTATACAATTAGAAACAATTTTCATACACTTGTGTTTGTATAAAAAGTGAGGAAGTGAGCGAGAGATTGGAAAAGAGTGGCGAGCGAGATATTTGGAACAGATTGCGTCTGACAATTTTTTTGCAAACGTTTGTTATGGATCACAATTAAATCAAACCTAGCTACTCCATTTATTTTAGGTTATTAGTTTGCTATTATATACCATTTTCTCAAAAATTAAAGAACAACCAAAAAATTAAGACTTAATAAGAATAGGTGGAGTGTATTTTGATTGGTGTTTAGCTCATTTCAACTCAAATAGTTTGTGATCAAATAATAATTCACTCATTTATAATTTCAATTTATTTTTACTCACTTAATTCAGTTCAAACAGCTTTTTAATTCACTTGAATCAAATTTCACGAAGACCATTTTTCAAATCCTTCTTTTCCCTATGCTATTTTACTATCCCTACTATCATGGAAATATTATTTATTGGCCCAATAAATAAAATCTTAGAGATGCTAATCTTTATGGGACCATTTTTATTATTATTATTATTTTTTTTTATATGAAGATTGGGGTTGGCGTTGGACCATCAAATCTACCAATGGAAGTTCTTTTTTAATTTTGTTCTTTAAAAAACTTTTAGAGCCATTTTATTCAACTATTTATGTATCATAATTATGAATGTTTGCTTTCACGTTCCGTTATATAAATTTGCGTGTTGCTTGCATGTTTGATTATTTATCATTCTAACATTTTTTTCTTTGTTTTCTTTCACTAATCTCTAATGAGTTAAAACTTTTTATACATATAAATAAGCTAAAAAGAAATTCTTATATATCACGTTGCTTAATAATAATTGCAAAAATAGTCATATAAAATAAGACAAGTTATGTATTAAAATAATAATATTTTGTTACTTTATTAGGATTGACAAGGTTAAGCTAGCTTTTCTTACTTGTACTTATTTCTAATGAGTGAGAATTTTATTTTAATAAAAAGCGTCTAGACACTCTGCTCTTGCCTAGTAATATAATTTATTTATTTACTTTTTAAAAAATGTCAATATATATGTAGGTATATTATATTTTTATTTTTAGAAGTATAATGGCTGGGGAAGGGATGTGAAATGCAATACGATTTAGCCAATTAATTAATAAAACCATTGACCTCTAATTGCATGACACGCATGAATTGGTTTGTCTTGGTCCATACATAATTATACAAATATTCTTACTCCACTAACTAATATATTGTCGTTCATATATACAAATGTTAGGGGTGACAAGTTGGGCAAATTTGATATAATGGGATGAGATAATACTCGTGTTGAGATTTAATTTAATTCGAATTTATTTTGTTTAAAATGTATTGCATCAAATAGGTTAGGTAGTGGACTAAATTACGGGTTAAGGTCCAGTCCAATTCAATTATTACTAAACTTAATTATTTTAGTTGTACCTGGTAAAAATATGTTCTTTTCTCTATTATATACATCATATCAAATTGAAAATAAAATAAAATTAGAATAAGACAAAAAATTTTACTAGCCAATTTGAATTACATATCAGTTTATTTTTTAATGAATTGAGCTGAAATGAATTAAGCTAATAAATAGACGGATTGAGATGCTAATATTGGGAAGAATATTCCAGCTAGCAACCACTCATTTGCTTATATTATAGAATATATAAATTTTATTCAAATATAAAATAAAAATCTGATATTTAAATTAATATCAATCGAACATTAAATAATTTGATTCCGTACTTCAAATCAAAGGGAGTATTTAGTTAAAATATTATTATCCACTAAAAAACTTTTTTTTTTGTTTGGCACAAGAGAATAAGGAACATCCTTAAATCATCCACACTTAATTGGATTTCTATTTACATATGCATTGTACATTTGTCTGCTAATAGCAAAGCAAATGTGGTTAATTAGACACCCACTCCACATGAATGTGAATGATCCAACAAGATATGTCTAATTGTATGCATTAATCTGTTTGTCTACTATTAGTGGATGTTTCCCTTTTTGATTTGACAAAATTTCTTCATTCTGAAAATTTCATCGAAGTACAATATCCACCCGTTTCAAAATGGACTGTGATACAATAGTGAAATTATTTTATTCTTTAATTAGAAGTTTTGAGTTTTAGAGTAAATTTTTTTTATTGTTGAATGCGCCACCCCTCCATATAGGAGTTACAGTATGCGATTTAGATTCAGTCAGACCTCCAATATAAATATCATACACAAAATGAGAAATAAAATAGCAATATCGACATGTACAACATGAATTGGCAGGTTAACAAACCAACTCATCCCCAATTATCTTGTTCCCTATTTTCAAAAACCTATATAGCATTATCAGTTGACATGTCACAAGGTTACCCTCCACAATGTTTAGACATGCTTACTACCAAGTCTCGTCAACTTGGTTTAGGTACCTAGCAACTTTATTTTTTCCTAATAATAATTAATACAGTTTCACTACTTATAACATATAGTGATTGGACAAGAGTAACATCCATATATAAATCTAAATCGTGATATATTAATGAGATTATTGCATATTTAATTAGAAATATCCAGTTTGAATTTTGAATGTAGAAAACATCATTTTGAAAACTTCACCTCGAAATAAGCTTTATAATGCATTTATTAATTTGATATAAACGATTAATTTTATCCAAATTAATTATGCCAAACAACGTAACTACTAACCCATCTTTGTTTGATCTTTTATTATTGCCATAGGCGGCTAAGTTTTTTCAATGTGTCACAAGGACTATTATACTGAATATTAATAACATCACAAATATAATGGTAGGGAGAATTCACTTTTGATCTAAAATTAAACTATTAATCACATAATTATTACACACTGCTAGATGAATGATTTCAACTAGATCTAATTTAAGGATATTAATCAATTCAAATTAAAGTGCCTAAATTTGTTTTTTATAAAAGTAGCCACGTGATTTGAACTTAAATAATCACTCATAATCATCACCCAACTCAAAAGCCACACGCCTTCATACATGAGAGAGCATGTATGAAGTCAAATATATATATATATAAAATTGTATATTATGTTATTTAAAATTTGTATGTTTTACGCGGAAAATATTTATAGCTCATCAATTAATTGACTATCTGAACTCTACTTTATTGATAAAAACTCAATTTTTACCTTGTAATTCTCTTTCAATTTCTTTTCTTTTTTAATCTAATCCGTTTTTGTTTTAAAAAATTATACGTTTTTAAAATTTGAAATCCGACGTAGAAGAGTTATACATACAATGGTACGTGGACAGTGTGTGTGCCTTTTATAATACACACGCCATCTACGCATGACATTTCGTGTAGTATTTAAGTAAAGGGGTTATAATATATATATAGTTATGGAATACTTTATATATAGTAAAATAAATATAAGGCATAGAGAAAACTAAAAGAATATACATTCAAATTTGAAACATAAAAGGGAGTTGGTCGAGACATATTTTTAAAAAGTTCAAAAAGTATTTTTTTTATTCTTAATTACTTGCTTATTTTTTAAATTATTTTTTTCTTTTTACTTATTCATTTTGACTTATCAAGAAAAGATAATTCTTTTATATTTTATATCCTCAATTAATTACTTTGAAAAAAAAATAGAATTTTCAGTTAATAAAAAGGTGGAAAATTGAATGTATGTTTGTGAAGTCGCCACTTGAGACATTGAAAGATTTCCATACGATTGATTTAGAAGCCACGTATGGATCACTACTAAAAAGACAACTTTTTTTTTTCAATGTTTTGAAGTGATTTGGAAAGACTCAACCTTTTGCATGAAGAAAAAACAATTTCTCACGTTAGTTGGAGAAGGGGATAATCTTGCGTTTCGAAATAACATAACCTCATTAATTAGAAGCAATTATCACGTCTTTAATTCACTTAATTGACTAGTTAACCTTTTTTTAAAAAAAAAAAGTTATCTCGGTTTATATTTGAAAGATTAAGACTATGTTTAGGCTAGTTGAATAAAGTAATGAATAAGTAACAAGAATTGAAAAACATTTTAAGTGATCTAATTGATTTATCCGCTTAAAATCATTAAAAAAAATACTTATAAGCTATAGTATTTAAAAAATTACTTATATTCACATCTCATTTTATTATAATTTCAAAAAGAATTTGGATACATCACTCGTCTATGATACATCATTATCCGCCTTTAGGATACATCAATCCCATCTTGCAAAATATCCCTAACATATATATATTCGAATGTCTAATGATATATTCGAATGTCATATCCCCTTCTGATACATTTATCTTGAAAATCTTCTATTTATCTGAAGGTTCATTGATTTATTTGATAAATTTTTTCTATAAATTTCAAAAAAAATTATAATTTAAAAAAAATCAAAAAATAATGTAATTAACTATAGTAACAAATGACAATGAATTAAAACTCCAATTGAAATCAATATCTACCAAAAAGTAGAATATTCTCAAGAACTCAGTAGAAAGTTTTGTTGATTTTTCATTCATGAACCCGTTCTCATTAAAAGATACTTATTTATTAACACCTTCCCTAACCCCTACGGTTAATATTAAAATGTTGATGTAACCATACAAATAACTTCAAATAAATTGAAAGATTAAATACATCAAATTCATATGAACTTCATTAAATGCAATGTTTTGCCACGTTGTAAATCATTTTTCAAACTCTATGGCGTAAAAGCTCAAAAAAAAAAAAAAAAGCCACCTAAGCTCTACCCAATTAGTTTGGACTTACTTGAAATTCCATCTTATTATATAAAGTTTGCAACTACAAACTCCTCTGTCACTCTGATTTAAACAAATTAAAAAAACAGAGCATTTTAAAAAATCCTCAATCTTCTTTCTAAATGGATTGGATCAGAGGCAATACTATAGGCCACGGATCCACCGCCGCCGTCTCCGCCGCCAAATCACGTTTCTCAGGTGAAGTTTTTGCTGTTAAGTCAGTGGAGCTATCAAAGTCACAGTTGTTGCAAAAGGAGCAGAAAATTCTTTCCGAATTGATCTCCCCTTATATAGTTAGGTACAAGGGGTATGATGTTACCAAAGAGAAGGATAAACTCATGTTTAATCTTAGGATGGAGTATATGCCGGACGGTACACTTTCCAATGAAATTCGAAAACAGGGTGGTCGGATGAACGAACCGTTGATCGGGTATTATACCAAGCAAATTGTACAAGGATTAGAGTACTTACATTCAAGAGGCGTAGCACACTGTGACATAAAGGGGCAAAACATTTTATTAGGTGAAACCGGTGCCAAACTTGCTGATTTTGGATGTTCCAGGTGGATTGATCCGGCGGAGAGGGACGGAGGTGCAAACTCAATTGGAGGAACGCCGATGTTCATGGCACCAGAGGTGGCGCGTGGGGAAGAACAGGGGTTTGCAGCTGATATTTGGGGAGTGGGATGTACAATGATTGAAATGGCTACTGGTGGATCGCCATGGAATAATGTGACAAACGCAGCTTCATTACTTTACAAAATTGCATTTTCAGAGCAATCCCCTGAAATTCCAAAATTCCTCTCTTCACAAGCAAGGGATTTTTTAAACAAATGCTTGAGAAGAGATTGTGAAGAAAGATGGACAGCTAAACAACTCCTCAAGCATCCATTTCTTGAATCAAATTCTACGATAATTCAAAATTTTGTGACGAGTTCACCAACAAGCATTTTAGATCAAGACATATGGAATTCAGAAACAACGATATTAGAAACAGTTATCTGTCCTGTGCAAAGGGTAAGAGAATTAATTTCGGATTCAGGTGAATTGAATTGTAGATGGACTGATGATGAGAGATGGATGACAGTTAGAATTAAGTCATGAACCGTGAAAACTTGCTGTAAATTTTGTACTATACAAACACTGTACAGATAAAATAAAAAAAAAGAGTATATATTATCTCTTGCCAACTGTCAAGAAATTATAATTTTGATCGATTTGTCAGTTTGCTAAAGTTTGTATTAGCAGAAAGAATACTCCAATTGAAAAATGAGGATAACCAACACGTGAGGAGAGTGACTACTACAAGTAAAATAGATTGAAATAAACTTTGAAATTTAGTCGTTTAGTGAATGTAAACACATCGAAAAGAAAAAGGAGAGATAAGAACTAAGATAAAAAGGCCAACAAAAAAAGATGCAACAAAATGATATGTGGACATGATTTGTAGTGGACATCTCTTGGTCATTTTTTAATCCACTTTACACTTTTTCAAATTTTGAAAAAAAATATTTTCCTACTGTATAAGACTTATTTAGTGCGATTCATAAGATATTTCATAAAAAAAAAGTTTAATTCTAAAAAATATTTTAATTATTCTTCTAAGTTATGCTATATATTAGGTTTGGTATGAATAAAGGCAAATTACCACTATTAAATTAAATTAACAGTAGAGCCATAATTAGATCAAATATAATTAACAAACATATATTTTAAATTTCACATAATTTAAAGATATTTTTCATACTTTCTTAATATTCAATATGTATATATTTATTATTATTAAAAAGTCATATTTATTTGTAAAATTTTCACAAAACTTTTTAACAATTAAATTAGTAAAATTAATTTTTTATTTATAATTTAAAATAAAAAATAATTAATAATATGACACAAATGAATATTAGGCTCCATGCTGGTACGGAATCGTGTATCTAGTATTGTAAAATATGAGAGAGTTTCAAACCTATCTAGGTAGTAATAGAAAAAGGAACGATCTTAAATCATCCACTAACAAGTTTTTAATTTTTTATTAGTGCATTACATGTACATTGTACATTAATTTGTCGGCTAACAACAAAGCAAATATGGTTCGACTGCCACTATACATGAATCTAAATAATCCAATAAGATATGTGCTATACTCTATGTTTCCTTTCTTAAATTATTTTTTAAAAAAAATCATTTCTTTTAATTATCAAATTGGTACGATTCGTTTATAAATTATTAGCTAGGTCGTAAGATTATTTTTTGAAAGAGCAAATAAAATAATTATAAATTGGACTATAAATGATATGTTCTTTTGCGCACATCTGATAAAACTAAAACAATATAAAGTAAAAGTTTAACATGATCCTGTACTAGGATGATTCAGACCAATTGAAAACTGAATTATAACTCGTATTTTAGCTCATTTCACTTCATACCCTTGTTAATCTGGTTATACATTAACTAATCTTATTTTTAACACAAAGCATAAGAATGTGAATCTTTTGTGATCTTATATATACATATAATTATTAATACTATTATTTTCGATTGGTAGGCTAACCAACTCATCTCAATTATTTTGTTCCCTAATTTTCCATCTACGTACAAACGTTTAGACATGCTTACTACTAAGTGACAAGTGTTGTCAACTTGGTTTAGGCTCATACGGTTTCCAAAAGATTGAAAGTTGAAATTATATCTTACTTAAATAATCTAAAACAAGACATAATTTATCAACATGACCCCTTTGCTTCTTTGGGGGTGGGGTGGATGAAGGATTTTGTAGGTTTATTTATTTAAGAAAAAATGATCCGACTGTCAAAAGATTCTCTAAGCATTTCTAATTTGCCCTTATTATTAGGTATAGTTATTTTCTAATGTATATATTTAAATATTAAATATATTACGGCATAAAAAATGATATATTAGTAAAATTGTCAATTTATTTATTATTTTAAGAAATATACACTATATCAGAAATGATTATTAGCGACAATTAAATCTTAATTGTCAAGATATGTATTCTTAGCGGCAATTGACACTCTTTGTATATGTTACTATAATATTAGCGACATTGGTTCTAAAGACACTTAACTAATGCCGATAAAGACTTTAGCACTCTTTATTAATGTCAATATTTATTACCATTAAAAATTATTTTTGTTGTAGTGATATCAAATCTAGACAAGTAAGAACATACCGACGAGGTATTTTTAGAGTTGGGAAAGAAAAAAAATGGCAAAAGAGATTATAAGATTGGAAATTGAGGCCAATCATTCAAGTTATTAAGATTTTTCAACGGGTGAAGTATAAAATTTTAGAACCGTAAAAGTAGGATAATCGTGGCATCAACAAGACTATACCAAAAAGAATTAGTATCAATTAATTAATAATGACTTAATCTCCCTGATATGTTTTTTTTTTTGTGGCTGAGGGTAACACTTTTTGTAAATTATCCTAAAATACGTATCAATATTAGATTTAATGACAATTAATTAATGTCAATAAGATTTTAAAATTCTTTATTAATACGAATATTTATTACCGATAAAAACTATTTTTATCACAATAAAGCCAAATAAAAAAAGACTGCGCTATGTGTCACGAGACTATATGCTAGATATTGATAACATCGCACACTTAGGATCCAAAAATTGGACTGTTAATTATGTCAACATATGTTAAATACCTGTTATTCAATGAATGATTTCTTTTTCAACCAACTTCTTTCATCAAGAAAATAATTAAGGAGACTAATCAATTCAAATTAAAGTGCTTAAATTTGTATTGAAGTTAAGAGCCACGTGACTTGAGCTTAACTATCACATAATCATTAGCTAACTCACAAACCACGCCTTAATGGGAAAGCATGGTACGTCAATAAATGGTTGTTGAATTATTTCGTGTTTTATTTGACACAAGCTTATAATGATAATGAAATTATAAAATGTGTCAACATATTTTCTGATGTTGAAATTAACACATGGAAACTAAAGATAAAGAGTTGTAAAAAAAATATGTTCTTCTTAAAAACAGATTAAAAATGAAAGTAAAACAATTAAATTAAATTTGAAGAAAATAAGATATATTATAATATCTGCTTGATTTGGTAGATTTAAATGATATTTTTTTAAAAAAAATTGATTTTGGCTTTTAGTTTTCTACTAGCCCACCTAAATGTTACTTATTCAAAGAGACAAATTCATTTACATTTATTTGGTGAAATTTGTTGCAACTTCTTTCACACATTTATTCCATATTTGTTCTTTTAACCTCTCGTTGAAGTCAAATCACTATTATATCTTCTAGTTAATACATTTTGCAACTCAATTTTACTTAATAATATATCAATTAGTGCGACTTTGTTAATACATGTACTCTCCGAAGCAGAGGCGAAACCATAATAAAGATTTTGAGAGTTCTATATTCTTTTAGAACGGCAATTAATTTTGTTAGGGGTTCACAAATTAATATATATATATATATATATATATATATATATATATATATATATATATATATATATATATAATTATTTTCTAGTATAAATACAAAATCTACGAAAAAATCTATTAAGTTTTTTTAAATCCACAAACTCCACCTAACTTTGCCTCTGTTCCGAAATACAATCACTAAAACCATGAAAGGCGATCAATTGACCTTTGAAAACTTTCGTCGGGAAATCATATTATATACATACCAAAAAAAAATTACATATCAAGTATATAAGTCAAAGACTATTATTTATGTATATATGTACTGAAACTGCTACTGCCTATACACACCATATACGCGTGACATTTTGTGGAGTATTTCAAGTCAAGGGATTATTATTATTATAATTACTATTATTATTATTATTATTATGATTATTATTATTATTATTATGTATAGATACGTTGAAATTGTGTGCCGTTTATAATATACGCACATTATTTTAAATATAAGTTAACCAGTAATAGTTGAGAAGTCAGCATCAAAGGAAACTTGTGGAAAATTGAAGGTATGATTGGGAAAAACGCATTTTGCCACATTGAAAGATTTTCATACACTTGATTGGGAAGCTAACTTTTTGTCACTGTTATTTTAATGGATTAAAGCTTCTCAACGTGTATATGATTTATGATTCTTCCTTTAGCATGATGGAAAAAACAATATCTTACGAATATTAATTAAATTTGATTTTTGAAAAAAAATATAATATGCTTTTCGAAACAGAACAAAAATTTAACCCTTTGTTTTTTCATCTCTATTTGTTTTTCAAACATTAAATATTCTTAAAGATTACAAAAGACAACTCTTTGATAGTAAACTTTGGCGCATATAGTTCATATAAGAAAAAATTATTTAAATACACATCTTATATTTATCATAATTTTTCTAAAAAATTTATCTTTTAACAAAAGTTTTAAAATTCCCTTTTAAATACATCACTTGCTTCTTGTTGATACATTCATATCTCCCTCTCGAATACACCATATTCTTACCTTCTCTGTTACATTTCTTCTCTTTCGGATACGTTAAAGCTCTCCCCTCTTTGATGCATTCTTTCTCTCTCGGATACATCATATCCCTCCCTTCTCTATCCGGTACTTTCTCCCTATATATTCCTCTCCTACAAATGTGTGTGAATGTTATATCCTCTCTTTGATACATTCATTTTCTCTCGGATACATCTCCTATATATATGTCCATTAATATATTTGAAAGTTCAGTGTGATATATTTAAAATACATATATTTTAAGGAATTATTATAATTTAAAAAATGCTAAAAATTTAATGTAATTAACTTTTTACTATGAAATTTATGAAAATTATAATCAATATAATATTCTACTTCTTGTTTTTTACCCTAACGTCTAAGAGACTTGCCAATTTTATAATTTGCCAAATTTTTTCGTTTGACTTCATGCTTGTCAAGTTTTGTGAATTGAATATTATTATAAAATTTTGGTGGGACTAGACATGCAACAAATGTCAATGAATTGAAACCTATCAAAAAGTGGAATATTGTGAAGAAGTCCGTAGAAAGTTTTTGTTGGTTCTTCAACCAACTCTCTCGAAAAGATATTCATTAACTATCACCTATAAAACAACCCAATCCAACTTATCAAATTGATATGTATTATTTTAAAGTTTGAAATGCAATGTATTGCCACGTGGAGAAAAAAATCCAATTGGGCAAGTAAGTGTAGTTCTTAAGCCTACTCAATCTGCCGCATGGCCATAACCATTTAGCCACGTTGTAAATCAATTCCCAAACACTATGGAGTAAAGTGGCCACCTAGAAATTCCACCTTATTATATCTACTACTCCATTTCTTTTTATTTATCCGATTAAATTTGAATTTGCGTAAAACTCTCTATACATATTCCTTAGCTGCTGCTCCGAAAGAAACTAAAAAAAGAACACTTCCAAAACTTGTTACATTTTTCTTCTTTTCTTCCTAAATGGATTGGATCAGAGGTCATACCATAGGCCGCGGCTCCTCTGCTGCTGTCTCCGCGGCTAAATCAATTTTGTCCGGTGAGGTTTTTGCTGTTAAGTCAGTGGAGCTATCAAAGTCACAGTTATTGCAAAAGGAGCAGAAAATTCTGTCCCAATTGAGCTCCCCTTATGTAGTTAAGTACATGGGGTATGATGTTACCAAAGAGAAGGATAAACTCATGTTTAATGTTAGGATGGAGTATATGCCGGACGGTACACTTTCCGATGAAATTCGAAAACAGAGTGGCCGGATGAACGAACGGTTGATCGGGTATTATACGAAGCAAATGGTACAAGGATTAGACTACTTACATTCAAGAGGCATAGCACACTGTGACATAAAGGGGCAAAACATTTTATTAGGTGAATCCGGTGCCAAAATTGCTGATTTTGGATGTGCCAGGTGGATTCATCCGGCAGAGCCAATTGGAGGAACGCCGATGTTCATGGCACCGGAGGTGGCGCGTGGGGAAGAACAGGGGTGTGCAGCAGATATTTGGGGATTGGGATGTACAATTATCGAAATGGCTACTGGTGGATCGCCATGGAATAATGTGACAAACGCAGCTTCATTACTTTACAAAATTGCATTTTCAGAGCAATCCCCTGAAATACCTAAATTCCTGTCCTTACAAGCAAGGGATTTCTTAAGCAAATGCTTAACAAGAGATCCAAAAGAAAGATGGACAGCTAAACAACTCCTCAAACATCCATTTCTTGAAGAATTAAACTTGAATTCTACGTCAACAAATCAAAATTTCGTGACGAAGTCACCAACAAGCATTCTTGATCAAGACATATGGAATTCAGAAACGATGTATTCCACAATATTACAAGAAGTTAGCTCTCCTCTGCAAAGATTAAGAGATTTGAGTTCAAATTCAGGAGAATGTAATTGGAGATGGAATGATGACGAGATGTGGATCACAGTTAGAAGCAGCAATAATGAATAACTCATGGAGCAATGATCTTGCTGTAAATTTTTGTTCTGTTCTAATTACTTACAGTAATATTCAGTGTACAGATCCGATAGTAACCAAAAATCCCAGATACTTGCAGCAATATTAAAAAGATTTTCTATTGTTTCCGGCCAATAGCCATCTGACATTATATGAGTATACACGTTAATTTATATAAAATTAAATAAATAGACACATAATATTATTATTTTGCTTTTAGAGAAATGAAGTATATTCGAATTCAGAGCGTAATTCTTATTAGTTTGGAAAAAAGCCACAAAAACTGTGTAAAATGAGGCAGCTCAGCTAGTAAATTTCATTTGTTTTACAACTTACTTAAATAAAATACATGAATCTGTAATTTCCTGCAATACCACACGACAAGTTGAAGCTTAAATTTGTCTGAAAGCTAAAGTCACACGTGACTCATGAGGTTTAACATAAGTAGCCCATCTGTCATCCAGTTATTTTAAACAGTTCGGAATCAAAGTAATATCTTTTTTAAATAACAAAGTAATATCCTTTTCCTCAAAAAAATCAATTTAACTTGCGGTTGATCATAGATATGAAATCATTTTTTTTAAAAAAAATAATTCTTTACATATCAGTTTGATTACGAAATTTTATTTGATTTTAAAAATCTAATTTTTAAAGTTCTAAAAACTAGTTGAGACCACCTTCTCGAATTTAAGGACATTAATTTGTAAAATTTCAATAATAAATAAATTAAAATGCATATCTAAACAATTTTAAAAACTCAAAGTTGTGCATTTTTTAATGGGAAAATGGACATATACCATAGGAATACGTCGCACACTTTTATCGGTCAATTCAATATTTACTAAATATCAGATTAGTAGATAAGATAATGACTCCGCCGTCAAATCCCAGGGCTCAACCCTGGACAGGCGGTGGAAACTACCAAGCTGGAGTACGGTAGGGGCAGAGGAAATTTCCGGTGGAGCGGTGTATATATCTAATGAAGGACATATATAATCTAGATAAATATAACGAATGGTACGTATATACCATTTTTTATTTTTATGATAGTACTTAAAAAAAAAATGTAAAAACACGTGAATATCCTGAAAACTGACACCACCCTAGCTCCGCCCCGTAAACCGTATACTTTTCTTCCCTATTTTTTTCCCCAAATATTCATGCAACTGTTATTTAAATTGGAATTTTTAAAAAATGGTTTAAACCAACCTCGCATGATCATTAGCTAACTCACAAGCCACGCCTCCATAAATGGGACAGCATGGCATGGCAAATGGAGTACCATTAATTAAATAATTAATTAGTGGCAGTTGATTTGTAATCTACTATAATATTTAATTGTTAGATTTAGATGCTAATTTTTAAAATTAGTACTGCGTCATATGGCATGAGGCCAAGGGATGATACAATTTTTTTTATTGTTTTTTTTGCTTTTACTTAAAAACTAAACCCTACCTATTTATTCTCTAATTACCTCATATTTAGTTATAGATTTTGAGATTGAAAATTTGAGTATTTGAAGTTTAAAAAAGAACTTTCGTGATTTAAAGTCAATTATTTTTTAAACTTAAGATTTTTTTTAGAACAGATGTTTAAATCTCATCGAAAATTTATGACTAAACAGATATATATTTAAAGATAAAAAAAATTAGCATGACTACTTGTTGAAGTTTTTTTATTTCCATTCTAATTATGTAGATAAATAATACATTGGTATTGCTATTGTGTGTCTTTAATAGTATGCACACCAAGTGCACAAGCCATTTGAAGACACATTTTAAATAGTTAAGAAGTTGGTATCTAATAAGGAACTTGTGGAAAATTGAAGGTATGATTGTTGCACTTTTCACAAAACACACTTTGCCACATTGAATTAAATTTTCACACACTTGATGTAGAAGCTACCAACCACTTACTAAAAGGCCAACTTTTTGTCACTGTGTTTTGGAATGGTTTAAATAAACTCTCAACGTATATATATGATTCTTACTTTAGCATCACGAAAAAGCAATATCTCAATATATTACTTCTAGAAGGAAATGATCTTGCGTTTAGAAATAGTTTTGACGATATTGGCGGTAATGAGCAGTGACGATTCGAATTTTCACCAAGAGGATCCCATACGGGAAAAAATTAAAATATATATTATAATTAAAAAGAACTCGACATATACTATATATACAATTAAAAAATGATTTTAACAATATATGATATTCTGTTGAAGGTGTGTTGGGATGAATCCCTAGCTAGCACCAAGTTGGCTCTTCCTCTGATAATAACTATTTTGACGCTAGTGAAGCTAACAATTGTTATCTTGATACAGAGTTGTAATTTCATAAAGCCAAATTAAGATGGAATTTGATCTATAAATTAAAAATAATTAATAAATGCAATTCTTTGATTTATTAAAATCACTTAATCATGATAATAAATTGCATTGATTCGATATAAACATATATGTATTTATCGTTTTGTTTCCTCAATTGCCTTTTTCGTCTTTATTTCACTTAGTTGACACTTGACAATTTAACCATTATTTAAAATTTTAACTCTTTGTCTATCTTGAAAGATTACATATCCTCATGATTTTAGAAAAGATATCTTTGATTGTAATCTTCCACTTCTTGTTTCTTTTCCTAAAGTCCTTAAAGACTTCGCAATACTATAATTTGCCAAAAAAATTCAATTGACTTTATGCTTGTCCTTGTTCTTGGTATTTAATTTTTATTGTAAATTTGATGGATAAGCATGTAGTAACAAATTCAATGCCTACCAAAAATTGGAATATTCTCAAGAACTCGGTAAAAAATTTAATTAGTTCTTTAACCAAAAATTCTCATGAAAAGTTACTCCTTTATCGGTTAATCTTCAAAAGTGGTTACACAATAACTTAATCTACCACCATCCAACTTGTTTCAATCACTATAAATTGAAAGATTAAATCGGTTTAAACTTCAATGTTTTGGCAGGTAGTGAGAACACAATTGGCCACATAAAGATCGACCTCCACATAGTCTAAGAGTGAAAAAATTATATCATATATGAAATATTATACGAAATATATATTGAATATTGGAGACACTTGATAAAATTCCTAACTGATTACCATTTGGCCACGTTGTAAATCAATTTTCAAACTATATGGAGTAAAAGGGAAAAAAGAGGCCACCTAAGGTCTACCCAACTAATTTGGAATTCACCATATATATATGCCTCCATTGTAGCTTCTAAACAAACAAAAAACAGAGCATTTTCTTATATTCTTACACTTTCTACCAATCTTCTTCTTCTTCATAAATGGATTGGATCAGAGGTCATACCATAGGCCACGGCTCCTCTGCTGCAGTCTCCGCGGCCAAATCAATTTTGTCAGGTGAGGTCTTTGCTGTTAAGTCAGTGGAGCTATCAAAGTCACAGTTATTGCAAAAGGAGCAGAAAATTCTGTCCCAATTGAGCTCCCCTTATATAGTTAGGTACAAGGGATATGATGTTACCAAAGAGAAGGATAAACTCATGTTTAATATTAGGATGGAGTATATGCCGGACGGTACACTTTCCGATGAAATTCGAAAACAGAGTGGCCGGATGAACGAACCGTTGATCGGGTATTATACGAAGCAAATGGTACAAGGATTAGAGTACTTACATTCAAGAGGCGTAGCACACTGTGACATAAAGGGGCAAAACATTTTATTAGGTGAAACCGGTGCCAAACTTGCTGATTTTGGATGTGCCAGGTGGATTGATCCGGCGGAGAGGGAGGGGGATGCAGAGGCGATTGGAGGAACGCCGATGTTCATGGCACCGGAGGTGGCGCGTGGGGAAGAACAGGGGTGTGCAGCTGATATTTGGGGATTGGGATGTACAATGATTGAAATGGCTACCGGTGGATCGCCATGGAATAATGTGACAAACGCAGTTTCATTACTTTATAAAATTGCATTTTCAAAGCAATCCCCTGAAATACCAAAATTCCTCTCTTCACAAGCAAGGGATTTTTTAAACAAATGCTTGAGAAGAGATGGTAATGAAAGATGGACAGCTAAACAACTTCTCAAACATCCATTTCTTGAGTCAAATTCTACGATAATTCAAGATTTTGTGACGAGTTCACCGACGAGCATTTTAGATCAAGACATATGGAATTCAGAATCTACGATATTAGAAACAGTTAGCTGTCCTGTGGAAAGGGTGAGAGAATTAATTTCGAATTCAGGTGAATTGAATTGTAGATGGAATGATGATGAGAAATGGATGACCGTTAGAATTAAGTCATGAACAATGAAAACTTGCTGTAAATTTTGTACTATACACACTGTACAGATCCAGTAATGTAGAGTTGGATAATATGAAATTTTACTTTTTATCCTTGTAGTAACAATTATTTTATCCTTCAATACCACATGACCGTATAAGCAAAGTAACAATTCATTATTTTGCGTATTATATTAATGAAGAAATAAAGGATAATGATCACTTAAAGATAGTGACCGACTACTACATATATAAAAAAAGATTGAGATAGACTTTAAAAAATTAGTGGTTTAAGGAATTTTTATACATTAGAAAAGAAAAAGAAATAATACCTAAGATAAAAAAAAAAAAAAAAAGTAGACGCAACAAAAATGTATGTGGACATGATTTAAAAGTGACCATTTCTTGGTCCTTATTAATAACAGAGAATGAAATTAGAACTCTACCACTTTACACTTTTCAAAATTTGAAATTATGGATCTCCGATGACCTATTGGCTCTAAAATTAATTTGAGCCGTGTATTATTTCAATTTTCGGATAATTTGAAATAAACTACTTAAAATAGATAGATAAATAAGTAAGTAAAATATTAATCCGTTTAAATTTGAATCAATCGTGTATATTTTTGTGGACTAACTTCACCAATACTTTAAGATAACACCCCTCACTTGATTTCCTCGGCACTTACCATTTACCTACCGCAAATACTGAAAAGGTGTTAAATATTACTACTATTTTTTTCAATCATACTATAAAAATTGATATTTTATAATTTTATTTTATATAACATATATAAAATGACAAAAATTAAAGAAAATTCTAATACATTTTACAAATCTTTTATTTAAGATCACAAAATCTAAAAACCTTCATTATTTTT